GTAACTTCTCCCAACCATCCTCCGAGAGCAACTTCTCCCAACCATCCTCCGAGAGTAACTTCTCCTGACCATCCTCCGAGAGCAACTTCTTCCGACCATCCTCCAAGAGCAACTTCTCCCGACCATCCTCCGAGAGCAACTTCTCCCAACCATCCTCCGAGAACAACTTCTCCCAACCATCCTCCGAGAGCAACTTCTCCCGACCATCCTCCGAGAGCAACTTCTCCCAACCATCCTCCGAGAGCAACTTCTCCCGACCATCCTCCGAGAGCAACTTCTCCCGACCATCCTCCGAGAGCAACTTCTCCCGACTATCCTCCGAGAAGCAACTTCTCCTGACCATCCTCCGAGAGCAACTTCTCCCGACCATCCTCCAGAGCAACTTCTCCCCGATGACCATCCTCCGAGAGCAACTTCTTCCAAACCATCCTCCGAGAGTAACTTCTCCCGACCATCCTCCGAGAGCAACTTCTCCCGACCATCCTCCAGAGCAACTTCTCCCCACCATCCTCCGAGAGAGCAACTTCTCCCGACCATCCTCCGAGAGCAACTTCTCCCGACCATCCTCCGAGAGCAACTTCTCCCGACCATTCCTCCCCGAGCAACTTCTCCCAACCATCCTCCGAGAAGCAACTTCTCCCGACCATCCTCCGAGAGCAACTTCTCCCGACCATCCTCCGAGAACAACTTCTCCCGACCATCCTCCGAGAGCAACTTCTCCCGACCATCCTCCGAGAACAACTTCTCCTCCCGACCATCCTCCGAGAGCAACTTCTCCTAACCATCCTCCGAAAGCAACTTCTCCTGACTTCATCCTCCTCCGAGAGCAACTTCTCCCGACCATCCTCCAGAGCAACTTCTCCCGACCATCCTCCGAGAGCAACTTCTCCCGACCATCCTCCGAGAGCAACTTCTCCCGACCATCCTCCGAGAGCAACTTCTCCCGACCATCCTCCGAGAGCAACTTCTCCCGACCATCCTCCAAGAGCAACTTCTCCCGACCATCCTCCGAGAGCAACTTCTCCCAACTATCCTCCGAGAGCAACTTCTCCTGACCATCCTCCGAGAGCAACTTCTCCCGACCATCCTTCATGAGCAACTTCTCCCGACCATCCTCCGTGAGTAACTTCTCCAAACCATCCTCCGAGAGTAACTTCTCCCGACCATCCTCCGAGAGCAACTTCTCCCGACCATCCTCCAAGAGCAACTTCTCCCAACCATCCTCCAAGAGCAACTTCTCCCGACCATCCTCCGAGAGTAACTTCTCCAAACCATCCTCTGAGAGCAACTTCTCCCGACCATCCTCCGAGAGCAACTTCTCCCAACTATCCTCTGAGAGCAACTTCTCCTGACCACCCTCCGAAAGCAACTTCTCCCGACCATCCTCCGAGAGCAACTTCTCCCAACTATCCTCCGAGAGCAACTTCTCCCGACCACCCTCCGAAAGCAACTTCTCCCAACCATCCTCCGAGAACAACTTCTCCCGAGATCCTCCGAGAGCAACTTCTCCCGACCACCCTCCGAGAGCAACTTCTCCCGACCACCCTCCGAGAGCAACTTCTCCCGACCATCCTCCGAGAGCAACTTCTCCCGACCATCCTCCGAGAGCAACTTCTCCCGACCATCCTCCGAGAGCAACTTCTCCCGACCACCCTCCGAGAGCAACTTCTCCCGACCATCCTCCGAGAACAACTTCTCCCGACCACCCTCCGAGAGCAACTTCTCCCGACCACCCTCCGAGAGCAACTTCTCCCAACCATCCTCCGAGAACAACTTCTCCCGACCACCCTCCAAGAGCAACTTCTCCTAATTATCCTCCGAGAGCAACTTCCCCCAACGATCCTCCGAGAGCAACTTCTCCTAATCATCCTCCGAGAGCAACTTCTCCCAACCATCCTCCGAGAGCAACTTCTCTCAACCATCCTTCGAGAGCAACTTCTCCCAACCATCCTCGAGAGCAACTTCTCCCGACCATCCTCCGAGAGCAACTTCTCCCGACCATCCTCCGAGAGCAACTTCTCCCGACCACCCTCCGAGAGCAACTTCTCCCGACCACCCTCCGAGAGCTACTTCTCCCGACCACCCTCCGAGAGCAACTTCTCCCGACCATCCTCCGAGAACAACTTCTCCCGACCACCCTCCAAGAGCAACTTCTCCTAATTATCCTCCGAGAGCAACTTCCCCCAACGATCCTCCGAGAGCAACTTCTCCTAATCATCCTCCGAGAGCAACTTCTCCCAACCATCCTCCGAGAGCAACTTCTCCCAACCATCCTCCAAGAGCAACTTCTCCCAACCATCCTCCGAGAACAACTTCTCCCAACCATCCATGGTGAGGATCAATATAATTTCCAGCATGATGGAGCACCTTGCCATAAGGCAAAAGTCATAACCAAGTGGCTTAGGGAACAAAACATCGAAATTTTGGGTCCATGGCCAGGAAACTCCCCAGACCTTAACCACTTCCCATCCGGCCCATGTACATAAACGGCCGGACTGGAAAAGTGCCAAAGCCGGTTGCCGTTTATAAACGTCCTCCCGCATTCCCTGCCTGTGTGCGCTCCCTGGGAGGGCGCAGTACTGTGATCCGGAGGACACAGCGGAACACCAATCACTGTACGGGACCTCTGTGTGAGGTCCCGATTCATGTGATCACTGCTTGGCCAATCAGTGATCACATGAAGAGTAGTAAGCAAAATGTCACTTCTGACATCATTGCTTACTACGTATGAAATCTGTGAATGATCACAGAGATCACATGGTACAGGTCTATTCACAACAGCCTTGTACCATGTACCAATCACAGCTCACACAGTATTTCTCAATGGCTGCAGGAATGCAGCCAGAGGGAAGGAGAAATGATTGCTTTTACAGCCTTTATGGGTGTAAAGGCAATCAGTGTAAAAAAAAAAATCTTCATCACCCCCCACAAGTAGTACAGTGTCTGGTAGGTTGACGGTATGTTAAAAACCCCCCTAAAAAACATAAATAATTATATAAAAAATAAAATAAAAATGTTCTGAAAAATTATAACTTTTGATTATAAACTAATTTGGGTTTTTTTTTACTAAAAAGATAACTGAATACATTTTGGCCAAGATTTATGATGAAATATTATTTATTTGCAAAATTTTATAAGAAAAACACTTTTTTTTTTTTTTTCCAAAATGTTTGGACTTTTTCATTTATATAGCAAAAAAAAATAAAAATCCCAGCGGTGAATAAATACCACCAAAATAAAGTTTTATCTGTCTAAATAAATGCTAAAAAATTCATATGGGTGCAGTGTTGCATGACCGCGCAATAGTCAGTCAAAGTGTGATAGAGCTGAAAATTGGCCTGGGCAGGAAGGGGGTGAAAGTGTCCGGACTTGAAGTGGTTAATCCCATTGAGAACTTGCGGTCAATCCTCAAGAGGCGGGTGAACAAAACCCCCACAAATTCTGACACCCACAAAACCCCCCACAAATTCTGACACCCCACAAAACCCCCACAAATTCTGACACCCCACAAAACCCCCACAAATTCTGACACCCCACAAAACCCCCCACAAATTCTGACACCCCACCCCAACCCCCCCCCCCCCCACAAATTCTGACACCCCACAAAACCCCCACAAATTCTGACACCCCCCAAACCCCCCACAAATTCTGACTCCCCACAAAACCCCCCACAAATTCTGACACCCCTCAAAACCCCCCACAAATTCTGACACCCCCCCAAACCCCCCACAAATTCTGACTCCCCACAAAACCCCCCACAAATTCTGACACCCCTCAAAACCCCCCACAAATTCTGACACCCCCCAAACCCCCCACAAATTCTGACTCCCCACAAAACCCACCACAAATTCTGACACCCCCCAACCCCCCACAAATTCCGACTCCCCACAAAACCCACCATAAATTCTGACTCCCCACAAACCCCCCACAAATTCTGACACCCCTCAACCCCCCCCCACAAATTATGACACCCCACAAAACCCCCTACAAATTCTGACACCCCCCAAAAACCCCCCACAAATTCTGACACCCCCCAAAACCCCCCACAAGTTCTGACACCCCCCAAAACCCCCCACAAATTCTGACACCCCCAAACACCCCCACAAATTCTGACTCCCCCAAACCCCCCCACAAATTCTGACACCCCCCATGCATTAATTATGGAAGAATGGGTGGCCACCAGTCAGGATGTGGCCCAGAAGTTGATGGCAGCATGCCGGGGGGGGGGGGATCGCAGAGGGGTCAGCACTGCAAATATTGACTCTTTGCATCAACTTCATATCATTGTCAAAAAAAAGCCTTTGAGACTGACCCCCGGGTTCACACCTATGCGGCCGTGCGGGCCCCGTGTTTGCGCGGGCACAAGAGCCCTTTCATTTGAATGGACTCCCGTGACCGGGACACGCAGGGAAGAAGTCCCGGCACTACTCTGGAAATCGCAGCCGAGGTTCCCAGTGCGCGTGATGTGCCATGAGAAGTAATGACACCCACCCGCCGGTCCGCATTCCTCTGTGCGGGGGGGGGGTGCGGCTGCACGGATGTTCATGCGGATCTGCAGCGGAACCACCCGCACAGATGTGATCCGGGGATTATGAAATGTTTGTAATTATACTTCAGGATCCCAGAGTAACATCTGACACAAAGATCTACAAACACCTCCGCAGCAGAGAATGACAGGACTGATCTGTAACTTGTTCTCTTCCCATAGAAATGTCTCTTCTCAGACTTTCCACTGTTTGCGCCAAACTTCTCCCGGAAACCCGACTCTGCTGGATATTTCTCAATAACCGTCTCATGACAAGTCCCTCAGCCCTCCAATATTGTCTGAACTCTGGATATTGCGATGCAGTTTAATAATGCGTCCCGCTCCGCGGCTCGCTTCTGTCAGCACTTTCCCGGGCCGAGGTCATGTGACTGCGGGACAAGATTCTGCTTTCTAAGTAACCCCTTCATTAAATGGTGAAGACTCACCAGGAGCAGGATTAGTTTTTACTGCTGCCCTGCTCACCTGCTGTGTCCATTATGAGGGGTTCCCACCATCCCTGTGCCGCGTTCCCGGGTCTGTACACCTGCTGTGCCCATTATGAGGGGTGCCCATTATGAGGGGTTCCCACCATCCCTGTGCCGAATTCCCGGGTCTGTACACCTGCTGTGCCCATTATGAGGGGTTCCCTCCATCCCTGTGCTGAGTTCCCGGGTCTGTACACCTGCTGTGCCCATTATGAGGGGTTCCCTCCATCCCTGTGCTGAGTTCCCGGGTCTGTACACCCGCTGTGTCCATTATGAGGGGTTCCCACCATCCCTGTGCTGAGTTCCCAGGTCTGTACACCCGCTGTGTCCATTATGAGGGGTTCCCACCATCCCTGTGCTGAGTTCCCGGGTCTGTACACCCGCTGTGTCCATTATGAGGGGTTCCCACCATCCCTGTGCTGAGTTCCCATCCATACACCTGCTGTGTCCATTATGAGGGGTTCCCACCATCCCTGTGCTGAGTTTCCTGGTCTGTATGCCCACTGTGCCCATTATGAGGGATTCCCACCATCCCTGTGCTGAGTTCCCGGGTCTGTAAACCTGCTGTGCCCATTATGAGGGGTTCCCACCATTTCTGTGGGGAGTTCCCAGGTCTGTACACCTGCTGTGGCCATTATGAGGGGTTCCCACCATCCCTGTGCTTAGTTCCCGGGTCTGTACACCCGCTGTGCCCATTATGAGGGGTCCCCACCATTCCTGTGTCCGTGTTCCCGGGTCTGTAAACCCGCTGTGTCCATTATGAAGGGTTCCCTCCATCCCTGTACTGAGTTCCCAGGTATGTACACCTGCTGTGTCCATTATGAGGGGTTCCCTCCATCCCTGTGGGGAGTTCCCAGGTCTGTACACCTGCTGTGGCCATTACGAGGGGTTCGCACCATCCCTGTGCTGAGTTCCCAGGTCTGTACACCTGCTGTGCCCATTATGAGGGGTTCCCTCCATCCCTGTGGGGAGTTCCCAGGTCTGTACATCTGCTGTGGCCATTACAAGGGGGTCGCACCATCCCTGTGCTGAGTTCCCAGGTCTGTACACCTGCTGTGCCCATTATGAGGGGTTCCCTCCATCCCTGTGCTGAGTTCCCAGGTCTGTACACCCGCTGTGCCCATTATGAGGGGTTCCCTCCATCCCTGTGGGGAGTTCCCGGGTCTGTACACCTGCTGTGGCCATTATGAGGGGTTCGCACCATCCCTGTGCTGAGTTCCCAGGTCTGTACACCTGCTGTGCCCATTATGAGGGGTTCCCTCCATCCCTGTGCTGAGTTCCCAGGTATGTACACCCACAGTGCTCATTATGAGGGGTTCCCTCCATCCCTGTGCTGAGTTCCCGGGTATGTACACCCGCTGTGCCCATTATGGGAGGTTTTCCGCATTTCTTGTGCGTTGGGCACCTCATTACAAATAAATAGGTTGCCCTTCATGCGACGTGGGGAAACGCATGCACACTCGGTCGCACCCAGGGGCGGACTGACAACTCATGGGGCCCCCAGGCAATAGGGGATCATGGGGCCCCTGTGTCCTTGCCCAAACTCAAAAAAGCCTATGAAAAAGGTACCAGGGGCATCTCATGGGGCCCCCTACTGACCCTGGAGTTTCCGAATGGTCAGTCCGCCCCTGGTCGCACCTGTGACCCAACGAAGGGCGTAGAGGATCAATGAACAAATTAAATATTTTTCGCCAACTGCTGTGGATATCCAAACAAGATATAAAAAGTAATTCCTCCCCTGAAAATTCCATCCCGACAGTCAAGTCCAAAGATCAAACTGCTGTAGTTTTCCTGGCTGGGGTACCGAATCCTCATCACCGCCAGCGGCGCCCGATCTAGACTCATTGAGACGCGGCTCACCTCCGTCAGTTTAATGGGCGCAATCCCTCGCAGCGCTCTAAAGAGCGGAGGAGAGTGCGCCTAGCAATATACAACGCCAATCACCTTCCAGGGAGCAATCCATCGTCACCCGCCCCCGGCGCACGGAGCTGCCACCGACGCCAGTGACTGATGCCGTCTATAAACACCAAATAATGCCAAAGAGCACAAAGTTTCTGCAGAAGAAGAAAACCCCATAAAATAATAATGGCGGCCGGCGTCTCCATAGAGCGCTCGTCACAAAGACTTTTTAGAGGGAACCTAAAGCTGAAATCGACATTATTATGAATATTCAGCGCTGTGATTAAGCCCGGGTTCACACTGATGCGGCGCGGGATTTGCAGCGTTTTCTGTGCGATTTCCGCACCGCATCATCATCGCACCCCGTTCATGCGAACCGCTGCGGGTGTGTATGTTAAGTTAGCAACACCCGAAAGCGGCCCGCAAAACGCGGTGCGATGCGCAGAATCGGATCGCATAGGTGTGAATACTCATGTGACACGATTATAGTGCGGACCAAAAAAGGGTCCTGCGCCTCTTTGGTGTGGTACATAATGTATGCCTCCGATCGCACCGCACACAAAATCGCATGTGAATGCGGTGCGGTTCTGGTGTGAATCACGTGATATATCGCACCGCATATATGTGAACCCGGGTTTAACTACTTGCCGACCCGTCACTGTCACCCCTTTCCAGGACCAATTTTCAGCTTTCAGCGCTATCACACTTTGAATGACAATTGAGCGGTCATGCAACACTGTACCCATATGAATTTTCTATCATTTTTTTCACACAAATAGAGATTTCTTTTGGTGGTATTTTTTGTGCCACCACATTTTTTGTCCTATGAACAAAAAACTGCAAAAAAATTGCAAAAAAAAAAGTTTCTATGTTTCTATTATAAAATTTAGCAAACAGGTAATTTTTCTCCTTCACTGATGTGCATTGATGAGGCTGCACTGATAGGCGGCACTGATGGGCACTGATGAGGTGGCACGGATAGGCAGCACTGATGGGCACTGATAGGCACTGATGGGCACTGATGAGGTGGCACTGATAGGCAGCACTGATGGGCACTGATAGGCAGCACTGATGTGCATTGATGAGGCTGCACTGATAGGCAGCACTGATGGGCACTGATGAGGTGGCACGGATAGGCAGCACTGATGGGCACTGATAGGCAGCACTGATGGGCACTGATGAGGTGGCACTGATAGGCAGCACTGATGTGCATTGATGAGGCTGCACTGATAGGCAGCACTGATGGGCACTGATGAGGTGGCACAGTTCTGGAATGGCGTCCATGGACATCGTCCCAGAACCTGACGACCGCGCTGTAGCCGTCTTTCGGCGATATCGCAGTAAGGAAGAGGTTAAATGTAGAAATTAAATGTATGATTTTTTATGAGGGGTTCCCACCATCCCTACTGTATTCTCAATAGATTTCTTATTATGGGAAATTGAACAAGAGGAGTGGGATCAGAGCTGGGTCCTATAGAATGGATGTCTTATAACTATTTCCAGCTGGGAGCTAGGAAGGCAATGGGTGATTCAGTCCACCAGACTCCACATACACTATAAAAAGTATTGGGCCGCCAGCCTTTCCACACACATGACCTTTAATGGCCCCCCAGTCTTAGTCCGTAGGGTTCAATATTGCGTTGGCCCCGCCCTTTCCCCACACATGACCTTTAATGGCCTCCCAGTCTTAGTCCGTAGGGTTCAATATTGAGTTGGCCCCACCCTTTCCCCCACACATGACCTTTAATGGCCTCCCAGCCTTAGTCCGTACGGTTCAATATTGAGTTGGCCCCGCCCTTTCCCGCACATGACCTTTAATGGCCTCCCAGTCTTAGTCCGTAGGGTTCAATATTGAGTTGGCCCCGCCCTTTCCCCCACACATGACCTTTAATGGCCTCCCAGTCTTAGTCCGTAGGGTTCAATATTGAGTTGGCCCCTCCCTTTCCACGCACATGACCTTTAATGGCCTCCCAGTCTTAGTCCGTAGGGTTCAATATTGGGTTGGCCCCGCCCTTTCCACGCACATGACCTTTAATGGCCCCCCAGTCTTAGTCCGTAGGGTTCAATATTGAGTTGGCCCCGCCCTTTCCACGCACATGACCTTTAATGGCCCCCCAGTCTTAGTCCGTAGGGTTCAATATTGGGTTGGCTCCGCCCTTTGCAGCTATAACAGCTTCAACTCTTCTGGGAAGGCCGTCCACAAGGTTTAGGAGGGTGTCTATGGGAAGGTTGGACCATTCTTCCAGAAGCACATTTGTCAGGTCAGGCACTGATGTCGGGGGAGGAGGCCTGGCTCGCAGTCTCCGCTCTAATTCATCCAAAGGTGTTCTATGGGGTTGAGGTCAGGACTCTGTGCAGGACAGTCAGGTTCCTCCACCCCAAACTGGCTCCTCCATGTCTTTATGGACCTTGCTTTGTGCACTGGTGGGCAGTCATGTTGGAACAGGAAGGGGCCATCCCCAAACTCTTCCCACAAAGTTGGGAGCATGAAATTGTCCAAAATGTCACCTTAAGAGTTCCCTTCACTGGAATTAGGGGGCCAAGCCCAACCCCTAAACAACAAGAACTAGAGGTGAACTTTTAATTTTTGATTTTATTTGGGGGGGGGGGGGGGCAAGTATCTGATCTTGCCTACGGTGCAATATAATCTAGCACCGGCCCTGCTTGCCATTATATACATTCAGTGCTGAAGGTGCCGGAACTGCGCCCCCCCCGCATTCCCACTGAAATAAAGCCAGATACAAAGAAGCAGAATAAGAGAAAAATACCAAATGATCTATTTTTTGCCTTTTTTTACATTTATTTTTTGTTACTTTTACCCATTGGATAAAGATGCATTCCATGCCATACCCCGCACACTGGACCCAGCACACATTACCCCCTCCCCCCATCATACACTATAACCAGGGCAGCAGAAAGTGGACGTTGTGTCCCACGTTGGTAGCAGAAGGTGCTGCACACATGTCAGAATAAACATTTCCACCCTCTATGGAGCCCTGACATCCTTCTTGTATAATTGATTGAACTGAACATGTGGGAGTACGCCGTATTCTGCGCCTTACCGCAATATGGGGGCTGACGTCTGCTGTGCAATCACTATGTAGGTCACAGCAACAAGGATCTGGCATGCAGGCAACACGCTATGTATGAGCAATGAGGGTGAGATGGCCCAGAATGAGAACGGCTTCCAGGTGGCGGACAGAGCAGGCATGGCGTCGAGGTGACGGACAGAGAGGGCATGGCTTCCAGGTGATGGACGGAGCGGCCATGGCTTCCAGGTGATGGACGGAGTGGCCATGGCTTCCAGGTGATGGACGGAGCGGCCATGGCTTCCAGGTAATGGACGGAGCGGCCATGGTGTCCAGGTGATGGACAGAGCGGTCCATGGCTTCCAGGTGATGGACGGAGCGGCCATGGCTTCCAGGTGATGGACGGAGCGGCCATGGCTTCCAGGTGATGGATGGAGTGGCCATGGCTTCCAGGTGATGGACGGAGCGGCCATGGCTTCCAGGTGATGATGGACGGAGCGGCCATGGCGTCCAGGTGATGGACAGAGCGGCCATGGCTTCCAGGTGATGGACGGAGCGGCCGTGGCTTCCAGGTGATGGACGGAGCGGCCATGGCTTCCAGGTGACGGATGGAGCATTCATGGCTTCCAGGTGTCAGACAGAGCAGCCATGGCTTCTAGGTGACAGATGGAGCGGCCATGGCTTCCAGGTGACAGATGGAGCGGCCATGGCTTCCAGGTGACAGATAGAGCGGCCATGGCTTCCAGGTGACAGATGGAGCAGCTATGGTTTCCAGGTGATGGACAAAGTGGTCATCTCTTCCAGTTGACAGATGGAGCAGTCATGGCTTCCATTTGACGGACGAAGTGGTCATGGCTTCCAGGTGATGGAAGGAGTGGCCATGGCTTTCAGTTCACAGATGGAGAGGCCATGGCTTCCAGGTGACAGACGGAGCGCTCATGGCTTCCAGGTGACAGACGGAGCAGCCATGGCTTCCAGGTGATGGACGGAGCGGCCATGGCTTCCAGGTGACGGATGGAGCATTCATGGCTTCCAGGTGTCAGACAGAGCAGCCATGGCTTCTAGGTGACAGATGGAGCGGCCATGGCTTCCAGGTGACAGATGGAGCGGCCATGGCTTCCAGGTGACAGATGGAGCGGCCATGGCTTCCAGGTGACAGATGGAGCAGCCATGGTTTCCAGGTGATGGACAAAGTGGTCCTCTCTTCCAGTTGACAGATGGAGCAGTCATGGCTTCCATTTGACAGACAAAGTGGTCATGGCTTCCAGGTGATGGACAGAGTGGCCATGGCTTTCAGTTCACAGATGGAGAGGCCATGGCTTCCAGGTGACGGACGGAGCGCTCATGGCTTCCAGGTGACAGACGGAGCAGCCATGGCTTCCAGGTGACGGATGGAGCGGCCATGGCTTCCAGGTGACAGATGGAGCAGCCATGGCTTCCAGGTGACAGATGGAGCAGCCATGGCCTCCAGGTGATGCACAAAGTGGTCATCTCTTCCAGTTGACAGATGGAGCAGTCATTACTTCAAGGTGATGGAGTGGCCATGGCTTCCAGTTCACAGATGGAGTGGTCATGGCTTCTAGGTGATGGACAGAGTGGTCATGGCTTCTAGGTGATGGACGGAGTGGTCATGGCTTCTAGGTGACGGACGGAGTGGTCATGGCTTCTAGGTGATGGACGGAGTGGTCAGGGTTTCTAGGTGATGGACGGAGTGGTCAGGGTTTCTAGGTGATGGACGGAGTGGTCAGGGTTTCTAGGTGATGGACGGAGTGGTCATGGCTTCTAGGTGATGGACGGAGTGGTCATGGCTTCTAGGTGATGGACGGAGTGGTCATGGCTTCTAGGTGATGGACGGAGCGGCCATGTCTTCTATGTGTTTAATAAAGTTCTGTTTATTAGATGCTGGGGTGGGGAGGATGTTTGTTTGCCCTTCCTGGCTTTGATTTTCCTCAGGTAGAACTCCAACTCTTTGCCTTCCAGGATGTATCCGTCAGCTCGGCCACAGTTACCCGGTCTAGAGGCGATGCATGCAAGCAGTTTGCCCTGTTGGAACTGTCTTTTTGCGCTCATCTTATGTTTTTTAGGTTTCTTTTTTATCTTTTCTTGTTGAGGATTTCTTCCTCTTCAGGAGTCAGTTTGGCTCTCTTCTTTCACCTGACGTAGTGCGCTTCGTACCACTGTCTGTAGGGGGTGCTGTCGATCAGGACGATGCAGTTCTTCACCAGAGTCTGGTCAGATCGTTTTTTCGATGCGTTGTACGCGACCTCAATGATTCTGGTCTTCCGGGTGCAGCACTAGGACCCCTTAGCAAGCAGTTTGCCCTGTTGGAACTGTTCCTCCAGCAGAGGGCTGATTTTTGCCATCTTTTTGCGCTCATCATATTTTCTGGGCTTTCTTTGATCTTTTCTAGTTGAGGATTTCTTCCTCTTCAGGAGTCAGTTTGGCTCTCTTCTTGCGCCTGAGCGGTGTGACGTAGTGCGCCTCGTACCACTGTCTGTAGGGGGTGCTGTCGATCGGGATGATGCAGTTCTTCACCAGAGTCTGGCCAGCTCGTTGTTCGATGCGTTGTACACGACGTCAATGATTCTGGGTGCAGCACTAGGATCCCCAGGAGAAGTTTCCGGCATCCAACCTCAGAGTGTGGTACTTCTTGTTTCCTCCCCGGACTCTCCCGGTGTGGATACAGCGCGGTCCGATCTTGGTGTTGGCGGCGGGGCGGCCCAGCTCATACTTCCTCTTCTTGTGGTACGGCTTCCTTTTTGCCTCTGGTCTTGCGCCGCTTGTGCCAGTTATCCCTTGAGATACCCATGTCTCAGGCGCTGGTTGGAAAGAACTTTTTTTTCTCTAATAAATAAATTCCTATGTTAGTAATATATCAATACTGACACTATGGCCATCGCGTATTTATAAAATATGTACATTACAATTCGCCCAATGATTGGGGCAAAAAAAAACAAATATTATTAGACTCTTTCTTGTGCTGGTCAAATACTTCTCATTGATTAACCCTCCTGGCGGTATTCCCGAGTGTAGCTCGGGGTAAAGTTTCAGCACCACAAGCGGTAACCCCCCCGAGCTACACTCGGGAATACACTGCAGCGCTGCTCCGGGATCTCTTCTGCACTTACCTTGTCCTGCGCTCCCGCGATGTCCCCCCTGCAGTGTCCCCGGCAATGTCCTCCGGCCGATGCCGGCATCTGTCTTCCGGGTTCCATTCCCTGCGACGTCGGGACGTACGGGGGACGGAACTGGCGGGAAATTTAAAAATGTTAAAAAGTGACATTCACTAAATACACTAAAATCACATAGTATAACATTCCTGTATCAAACCATTTCACATACATTTTGTCCCGAGTGCTTTGTCCGGCGCCCTGCCTGCATTTTTACTGTTCTTTCTGCTTGGAAACTGAGAAACGTCCATGGCGTCCAAAAAGAGTCCCTTTAGGTCACAATCGGTTTTAGACCGGCTAGAGAACAGCGATAGTAAATCAGAACCACTTGCAGAATTGAGTGATAATGATTCGTGGGGGGAAATTCCTCATCAGACACTGAAAACGATTCTGCGACTTTGCTCAGCGATGTGCGAACTTGGCGCTCTATTTCACATTTCAATGTTTTTGGTTTGATTATATTATTGAATTAAATTTATTATTATATTATTATTTTTTATGATTATTTAATAAATTATAATTTATGATTTCGTGTTTCAAATGTTACCATACCCGGGATGTTTACTAGACTCTTGTTCGGACAGATTTCAGTGAGTTATTCCTAAGAATTACAGGCCTACAATAATAAAACTACACATTTCCATGCAAAAAAATGTACCGCTTTGAGCACAGAAATATGGACATAATGAGACCGCTAGGGAGGTTAAAAAAATGGAAAATACTTCTGTTTAAAAGAAAAAAAATGGAAAGTACTTCCGTTTAAAAGAAAAAAAAATAAAAGTACTTCTGTTTAAAAGAAAAAAAATGGAAAGTACTTCCGTTTAAAAGAAAAAAATTAAAAGTACTTCTGTTTAAAAGAAAAAAAAATGGAAAGTACTTCTGTTTAACCTCCTTAGCGGTGTTCCCGAGTGTAGCTCGGAGTAGAATTTCTATACCAAAAGCGGTAACCCCCCCGAGCCACACTCGGGCTTACCATGCAGCGTTCTCTGGGGGTCCCTGCAGCACTTACCTTGTCCTTCGCTCCCACGATGGGTCCCCTGCAGCGTCCCCGTCCATCTCCTCCAGCCAATGCCGGCATCTGGCTTCCGTGTTCCGGTCCCTGTGACGTCGGAACGTTCGGGCGGCGGAACCGGCGGGAAATTTGAAATTTTTAAAAAATTACATTTTTGCTGTCATTGCTTTTTCACTGCATTTCACATACATTTTGTCCCTACTGCTTTGTCCGGCGCCCTGCCTGCATTTTGAATGTTCTTTCTGCCTGGAAACTTAGAAAAGTCCATGGCGGCCAAAAAGAGTCCCTTTACGCCAAAAGCGGTTTTAGAACAGCGATAGTAAATCAGAACCACTTGCAGAATTGAGTGATAATGATTGGTGGGGGAAATTCCTCATCAGACACTGAAAACAATTTGCGACTTTGCTCAGCGATGTGCGAATTTGCCTCTGTATTTCAAATTTCAGTGTTTTTGGTTTGATTATATTATTGAATTAAATTTATTATTATATTATTTTTTTTATGATTATTTATTAAATTATAATTTATGATTCCGTGTTTCAAGTTTTATCATCCCCGGGATGTTTACTAGACTCTTGTTCGGACAGATTTCAGTGAGTTATTCCTAAAAATTACAGGCCTACAATAAAAAACTACATATTTCCATGCAAAGAAATGTACCGCTTTCAGCACAAAAAAACGGAAAGAATCATACCGCCGAGGAGGTTAAAAGAAAAAAAATGGAAAGTACTTCTGTTTAAAAGAAAAAAAATGGAAAGTACTTCTGTTTAAAAGAAATAAAATGGAAAGTACTTCTGTTTAAAAGAAATAAAATGAAAAAAAATACTTCTGTTTAAAAGAAAAAAAATGGAAAGTACCACATTTGGCCATTAGATGGCAAAAAGTATCCTAGAAAATTCCTATGACACTTTGCACCCTCTAGTGGACAAATATGGTATTTTCCTTTTTTAAATCAATGAAGCCCTCTGCTGTATGTCAGTAATATGATCTCAGTACTGACTGTCTGGGCGTTTTGCTGTTATATTAATATATTTTGTAAAATATTTGGCCTGGCTGTGATTTTTGGAGTAGATATCTGCAGTGAAACACATTTTGGATGGTCGGCAGCTGACATTTTATGTGTGTAATTTACACTTCTGCACGTATGACACCCGGGGATATACAGGGCGGCCAGCAGCGAAGGTTCACGGAAGGCGGACGCGATCTCTGAGCCTGTAGGAGGGATGGCTCCCGTCTCCGGGAAGGCCGCGGACTCGGACGGTGCCGGCCATTCGGGAATATGTCAGAGTCTCATTCGTATCTTTAATGCGCCTTTGCCAAGGGCAGATTTCCTCTGCAAATTAATTAAATCATTAATGAAAGAAATGTGAATTGAAGGGGAAAAAAAAAAAAGTTTTTCATTAACTACCTTCCTGAAAGAGGAATATATTGAATTATTTTAAAAGAGCCATTATTCAGTGGCCGGTGTGCGGGGCCGACTGCGGCTCATTCAATATTTAATCCCATTAGTATTAGGTGGAAGTTCTCGATGAAGAAAAAAAAGTTCATATCCGCAGCAGATGAATTCCGGCCGGGCGATCGGATCGCTCTCCTGCCAGAGGAACGTAATGAAAAGACACTCCCAAACAAAGCGGGGGATGGAGGCTGAGATAGTCTGTGTCTGTGCAGGATCCACTACAGGGGCGGACTGACCATTTGGAAACTCGGGCACTGCCTGAGGGCCCGGGGTCAGTAGGGGGCCCCATGAGATGCCCCTGGTACCTTTTTCATAGGCCTTTTTGAGTTTGGGCAAGGACACAGGGGCCCCATGATCCCCTATTGCCCGGGGGCCCCATGAGTTGTCAGTCCGCCCCTGATCCACTACAAGTCCCAGCTAGCCCACCCCAACCATGACCTTGGTGTTTGCACCGCCAATCATTTTTCATGTTCTCTTTACCGTCTGTGGGCCATATCTGGCCTGTCACAAGGCTTTATCTGCCCTCTGATGTGAGATGGAACTTTGATGGGAACTTTATTGTGAAGGGGGACTCTGATTTAGGGGAAATCAGATGTGGACTCTGATGAAAGGTGGGGGGCTCTGATGTAAGGGGAACTCTGATGTAAGGGGAAATCTGATGGGGACTTTGATGGGGACTCTGATGTGAGGGGGGACTCTGATGTGAGGGGGAACTCTAATGTAAGGAGGACTCCAATTTAAAGGGAAAATCTGATGGGGACTCTAATATAAGGGGGAGGGGGAGAAACTCTAATGTAAGGGGGGACTCTGATTTAAGGGGATGTATGGAGAACTCTGATGTAGAGAAAGATCTGATGGGGACTCTAATGTAAAGGAGGACTCTGATTTAGGGGGTGGGGCTCTGATGTAAGGGGAACTCTGATGTAAGGGGAAACCTGATGGGGACTTTGATGTAGGGGGGAACTGTGATGTAAGGGGTGGACTCTGATGTCAGTTGGGATTCTCCATTGTAAGGAAGACTCCGATATAAAGGGAAAATCTGATGGGGATTTTAATGTAAAGGGGGACTCTGATTTAGGGGAAATCAGATGTGGACTCTGATGTAAGGGGGGGGGGGGGCTCTGATGTAGGGAGAACTCCAATGTAAGGGGAAATCTGATGGGGACTTTGATGTAGGGTGAACTGTGATGTCAGCTGGGATACTCCAATGTAAGGAGGACTCTGATATAAAGGGAAAATCTGATGAGGACTCTAATGTGAAGGGGGACTCTGATTTAGGGGAAATCAGATGTGGACTTTGATGTAAGCGGGGGGGGCTCTAATGTAAGGAGGACTTTGATTTAGGGGGAAATCTGATGGGGACACAGCTGTAAAGTGGACCCTGATTCAAGAGGTGATGAAAGGGGTGGATTCCGATCTAATGGTGGGGTGGGGGGGGGGGGGACTCTGATGTAAAGAAGACTCTAATGTAAGGGGAAAATGATGGGGACATTGATGTGGGGAAACTCTTTTGGAAGGGGGACCGTTGTGTAAAGGGACTCTGATGTAAAAGGTGGGCTTTGATCTAAAGGTGTGTGTGTGGGGGGGCTCAGATGGGGACTCTGTTGTAGGGAAGACTTGAAAGTAAGGGGAAATTTGATAGGGACATTGATATGGGGAAACTCTTATGTAAGGGGGATTGTGGTGTAAGCAGGGGCAGACTAAACATTTGGAAACTTGGGCACTGCCCGAGGGCCCGGGGTCAGTAGGGGGCCCCATGAGATGCCCCTGGTACCTTTTTCATAGGCTTTTTTGAGTTTGGGCAAGGACACAGGGGCCCCATGATCCCCTATTGCCCGGGGGCCCCATGAGTTGTCAGTCCGCCCCTGGGTGTAAGAGTGTAAGCCGTGTACCGGGGGGGGGGGGC